TGCTGCTGATCTGTTTCATGTTGCTGCTGATCTGTTTCATGTTGCTGTGTTCACGCATGCTCATCTGCTCACACAGACTTGTGTTCGTGCTGCTGTTCAACATAATGTTTTTATGTTATTAGTGCTTAATTTATATTTAGTTGATGTTTTTCTTAGTTCATATCTTAGATGTTATTACTGTTTTTCTTTTACATTTTATCGTTGGATGTAACTGGGACCCTGTGTACATATTATCACTCCACCACATGCAGCACATGTGGTGGAGTGATAAATAAATCTCTCTGACTCTTTATTTACATAATGACTAACAGCTGGATGTCGGGCCCCTGAGCTGCTGACGTTCAGTAAGTGTGGCCCCCTGAGCAGTTTAGTTGAGGAGCCCTGCTTTAGAGGGTGAAATACAGTTTATTCCATTTCCAAAACCTAAACTGAGTCTGGAAAAATGTAAAAGATGGTAAAGCCCTGCGGCCGACCTCATGAGCAGCTGAACACAACAGTGATAAACAGGAAGTACCACATGTTTGTCTGTACGCGGGTTGTTTTTTTTCTTCTTCTTTCAGCTTGAGGGGTCGCCACAGCAAACTAAGTTGTACGAAGACAAAGAAGTTATTTTAACACCAGATGTCCTTCCTGACACAACCACAGACCACTGAGCTACCACAGCCTCTGTGTGGAGCAGAGAGCTGATATCTAGGACACCCAGGGGAGCAGACGGTGGGGGTAAAGGGCCTTGCTCAAGGGCCCAGAGTGGGGCAAATGATGATGGAGGCAGGTGTGGGTGCTTCACCTTTCCCACCCACAATTTAATGATGTCAGTACTGGGAGTTGAACCAGCGATCTTCCGACCACAGGCCCACCTTTTCTAAGCTCTGTGCCACCACTCCCTCCCATGCGTCTTTATGAAGGTAACTGCAAGTAAATCCTCCATTTTCTGTCATAATTACCAGGAGTGCACAAAACTGGTACGGAGGTACACATGCGCAACAAAAATCAGGAATGCGTAGCATCACCTGTGTTCCCACATGCCTTTGTGTACTTGACCGTGGGAATGTAACTTGTAACGCAACGCATTACAGAAATGTAGTGTAATAAAGTACAGATACTTAATGGAAAATGTAGAAGAGTAAAAGTCGAAAGTACCCACGTTTAACTCTACTTAAGTAAAGTGCAGAAACATGAAAAATGTACTTATGTACAGTAACAAAGTACTTGTACTCAGTGTAGGGGAACACCACCTCAGAAACAGTTTACCTCATCTCAAACAAACAACATTCCTGTGTTTGTGTTTGAAACTGTTAAAAGTAAGATTCATCTATTCCCTTGGGAACAAACAGACATTGTTTTACAAATATTCAACTCGGCTCACAAACTTCTTAGTTAACACTAATGTAAATGTAATTAAAAAAAAACTGTCACTGTGTTAACTTTACTGCCAATATGAACTCATTTCCCATGAAACGGACAGATTGCTTTAATGAGAGTTTTGGTTCAACTGACCTCGAATGTTTTTTGTTAAACATCTGAACTCGCTACGTTGATAACTTCACGTTTATCAAAAGGAGTGTTCCTCCCAGAGTTCGTTCCCATGAAGATAACACCATAAGAACCCTTTGTTTAATGACATTCCCTCTTCAGGAGATGGACAGCGACACCTTTTGGTGAAACACTGCATGTTATTAATTACAAAATGTCATTTCTGTTTTATTTTATACAAACCGGATTCCAAAAAAGTTGGGACACTAAACAAATTGTGAATAAAAACTGAATGCAATGATGTGGAGATGGCAAATGTCAATATTTTATTCATAATATAACATAGATGACAGATCAAAAGTTTAATCTGAGTAAATGTAACATTTTAAATGAAAAATTGTTGATTAAAAATTTCACAGTGTCAACAAATCTCAAAAAAGTTGGGACAAGTAGCAATAAGTGGCTGGAAAAAGGAAATTAAGCATATAACGAACAGCTGGAAGACCAATTAACACTAATTAGGTCAATTGACAACATGATTGGGTATAAAAAGAGCTTCTCAGAGTGTCAGTGTCTCTCAGA